GTCCAAGAAACGCTGGCGGAGGTCACGGCCGGCGTGACAGTCAAGCGGGGGACGTCGGCTGCCGGGGGTAAAATTGCAGTTAATGTGGCGTTGGCACCGGGGAAACGCTGAAATATCTACCGCGCTGACGTTCTTAGGCCAGAGCAATTTCAGGAGCCGTCATTTTGACCAAAGGATAATTAGCGTGTAAATGAATCCGGAAATTAATGCAGAGGCGCAAGAATCCACTAATGGAAATTTTTTGGTTCTTAGGTTGAGTGATTACGCTTATGACAATGCGACGATAAACACACTATCGCCCTGGACTGGGTCTAGCATTTTGAATACCTTTATTAGGAAAAATAAATTTATATCTGAGGGACTATATTGAATATAATGATAATACATATATAGTAGGTTTTGTAAAATATATAGTAGGTTTTGAACAGAATTAACAGTTCACTTCTCCTGCTCTGTAATGGAAAACTATAATATTTGATATACTTGTGAGCGAATGTAGGCTCTGCTGGCCTGTAATGCACTGCTCAAGGTTCAGTTCGCATGAGAGAGGCTGTGATGGCATGATGCATTCTAAGCCCACTTTATTGAAAACTATTTCCGTATTTATTCATGAGTATAAATTTTTTTCTGCTACACTTTCCAATTTTCAAATCATTCATTTAGTACATCAAGACTATTACTGAGTCTGATGAGTCGAAAATCTGATTTGAGTCATCATCTCAATGACAATGACAGTGAACAGCGGCAGGCACTCGTTCAGTTTTAATAAAATTACTGATATGATTTTCTTGAGTCCATATTCAACTGTCATAAAGAAATTATTCATGGAAATGATTCTATTTAAAAACTTTATTAGTATTCAAGCGATCAAACTGCAGTCAAGCGCTGGCACGAAGCGGTCGAGTCAGCGCATGCCGATGACAGAGATTGCCGAAACCATCTGATGGAGATTTTTTATTCATTCTGATGTTACGTTTTGCTTGCTTAATTATTCAACATATGTATCTATAAAACGGAACAAGTGGGTAAATGAGCAAAGAAGCAAGAACTATCGTCTTATTGAACTCAAGTCAATGTAGTCGATACTACTGACCATAGAATGGACAGAATTAATCAATCATTTAAAGTTGTGCATCGTCCAATCGAAACACCACTTGCGAAAACAGAATATAAAAAATATTAGCAGACGACAGTACCTAAATACCAATCAGGCGACACACGCATAGATAAGGAGCAAAGCAAATACGACATGCCACCCAACGGATGGTGATTGATAATAAAATTCAACATAAATGGCCCATCAAAACTAGCACAAATAAATTCAAATCATCCACATCAGAGGTGAAAACTATCTGGAATATTCTTTAACAACACTCACTACACTTACATAGACAAAGAAGCAGTCTTAGGATAAAACTTCATATCATACGGTAATAGGTCTCAGATAACAGCAATCAAACACGTATAGTAGTTGGTAACAGCAAGTAAACACCCAGGTAACGTAGTTTGAGGGCGAATTAATAAATAACTCAAGCAAAGAGTTATTAGGAATGTTATGGGGTAAGTGTTGAGATAGTTAGGAATGTGGGTTGAAGCTATGTATTGTGAATAACTAGTGTTTGTTTCGAGACGGTTAGACCGAGTTTGTTTAGATCGAACAATGGCGAGATTTTTTATTGTGAGGTATCTTCCATGATGGTAGGAATTCGGCGACACTTGAGGCATAGGGCAAACTGTGCGCGGTTGCTACGAATAAAAAGGAGCTAAATTACGCGCCAGAGAGGTTCTTCTGAAGTCACGGTCATGCAAGTGCGGTTTGCAGTGGAAATACACAAGTATTACTTTCGAAACAAATATACTTATTGCAAATCCTTATATGGAACTTCCTCATGTAAATATGCGAACAATATTAGGTTGATAGTGAGAGTGCATATAAATGTGAGTGGAGTTGGGATGGAAGTTAGTCAGAATGTCCGTGGAGTTACTCACGTCGCCAGTTAGCACAGCCGAACTCGTCGCTGTAGTCGCCGCTGTTGTCGCCGCAGTCGTTGGCTCCGTTGCATCTCCGCGCCCCGTCTATGCAGAGGCCGGTGTTGGCGCACTTGAACTGTTCAGAGCGGCACACGCCTGCAATCACAAGTAATTAGGTAGGTTGTGTAATGACCATAATTGAGAAGGGATGGACTCGGAATATAAATTTTTGCAAATCACGAAATAATCTTTCGGTATTCTGGCATGTGTTTTATGCTATGTTATCTCCCTTATGATTTACTATATACTGCTTCTGATAGATGTTCAGCTCAATTATTATGATCAGGGATTCTAGAACAATTTAGAAATGATTCCTTATTGGCGATAATTGATGATGATTCGACTGAATGCTGATTCTCGAAGATTCTGACGATTCAATTCAATTCTTCAAGGGATTAATGTCCAGGGAAGGGTGATCTAAGGAAAGGTGGTCCAGGAGGGTTGGTCTGGGGAGGATTGGTCCAGGATGGGGTGATTGAGGGAAAGAGGGCCACGGAGGTGCTATTCAGGGAGGGTGCCTACTGAGGGGTGATCCAAGGAGAGGTAGCCCAAGAAGAGGTGATCAAGGAAGGGTGGCCCAGAGATTGGGAGGGGGGGGTGGCCCAGGGAGGGGTGATGCAAGGAGGGGTTATCCAGAAAGGGGTGATCCAGGGGGGGGGTGCTCCAGGGTGATCTCACAATGTTTCTCATCACTCCAGTCCCCGCAGTTGTCCCGGCCGTCGCATTCCCAACGCTTGTAGATGCATGTGCCGTCGTCGCACATGAAGCGGTCGCCGGTGCAGCCTGCGATAATTCAAGGAAGCCGTGAATGTCGGGCTAACAAATTAATATAACTAACCAATTTTATTCAGATGATCCAGTTTCCTGGACGCAAGGCGAGGACTAATGTATAACGGGTATAAGAATGAGATGTATGTGTTGCTTATTATATCGCATCAGAGGTGTTGGAAAAGTCTCAGTATGCAATGAGTTTAACGGGCTCAAACTTCTTGTGGAAAGAAAATCTAGGCCTAAGAGATTAAACTCGCCAACTCGAATTTAATCATGGCGTGCTTGCGAAATATTGAAAGAAATACGATAGTAAAACGTAATTGAATGCAGTCGAGGAATAATTCATTTATGTTCAAGAAAATAATTTAATGATAAGAGCAGAAACAGATACTCATACAAACTCGAAATAAAAGATATTAGAATTGCGCGGAAGCGTTTGACTCAACAGGCAACTTACAATCGCGCTCGTCGCTGCCGTAATCACAGTCATTGTCTCCGTCGCACCGCCGCGTCTCGTTTATGCAGATGCCGGTGTCGGCGCACTTGAACTGATCAGAGCGGCATGCGCCTGCAATCACAAATAAATTGGTAGGATGTGTTAAGACCATAATTGAGAAGGTGTTAACACGGAAGACAATCCTTTACAGATCACGAAATAATCTTCTGTTATCCTGATATGTATTTCATGCTTTTATCAATCTTCCTTACTATATACAGCTTCTTCTGGATGTTCAAGTCATTTATGTTCTATAATCAGGGGTTCTGAAAGAAAAAATTCTGTGATGGTCGTGGATTTGCAATACCCGATGTTAAATTAATAAATTAATGCCCATTCAATCACTTCAACGGATTTTACTGCATATGTAGTACTTCCGTTAGCGGAATTTTCGCATCTGATAAAAATCGAATGAACCTGGAATTATTGGGGAGAAGCGAGTGGCTCTATAGCCGGGCTGGAGCTGAGCTCACCACAGAATGAGTGTTTAGCTCCACTTAGTTCCCCATACACTTGGCCATCTCGTTAATTTAATACCTACGCCGACTCATGAGGTGATGACACACTCATTACATCAGCCGTGTCATCACATCATGATGACTCATTACATCAGCCGTGTACTCACAATGCTTCTCATCACTCCAGTCACCGCAGTGTTTCCAGCCGTCGCATTCCCAACGCTTGTGGATGCATCTGCCGTCGCCGCACTCGAAGTGGTAGCCAGTGCAGCCTGAGATAAGTTAGAAAAGCCGTGGATGTCGGGCTAACTAATTAATATAAATAACTAATTTTATGCAGGGTGATCGGGTTTCCTGAACGCGAGGCGATGAAGAATTTATTGGGGGGGGGGTAAGAATGCGATTCATGTCTTGTTTATACCATCGCATCAGAGGGGGTGGATATGTATCAATATGCAATGGGTTCAGCGCACCGAAAACTTCCTGTGGAAAGAAAATCTGTGCCCCAGAAGAGGTTGAACTCGACATCTCGACTTTGGTCATACATGCTTGCGAAACATTGAAAGTAATTCAATAGTGAAACGTTGAAATTGAATGTAGTCGAGGAATAATTCATTTATATTCAAGAAAGTAATTGAATGTTTAGAGCAGAATAAGATTCTTATAATAACTCGAAATAAAAGACAGTAAAATTGCGCGGAAGCGTTTGACTCATCTGACAACTCACAGTCGAGCTCGTCGCTGCGGTCGCCACAGTCGTTGTCTCCGTTGCACCGCGACGTCTCGCGTATGCAGCGGCCGGTGTTGGCGCACTTAAACTGATCAGAGCGGCACGCGTACGCACCTGCAATCACAAGTAATGCGGTATAGAATTAATTTCAGATAATGATATTTTTATCATGAGAAAAAGGTTTTTGTGTCAAGCACACAGGAGTGCATCCAAAAGTGACCACGAGGTGAGGTGTCGACTAGGAATGTCTGCTGTTTGGCCCGACTGCGGCGGAACCTACAGAAGCAAAGTGGCACGCAGCCTGGGTACCCCCACGGCGAAGATTCTGCTGAGTTCCTGGCACGCGCCCTCCAAACCCACGCTCATTCTTAAATTGCCAACAAACCGGCGCCCGTAACTCCTTGCCTCACTTGTTCCTGCATAGGGGCTCAGGCGCCGAATTTACGGGGTTACCTCAGATGTGCAATTAGCCCTCCAATTGAGAAGATGTGAACACGGATGATAAATCTTTGCAGATCAGGAAATAATCTTTTGTTATACTGACATGTATTTTATGTTATGTTATCAATCTTCCTAACAATATACTGCTTCAGCCGGATGTTCAGCTCAGTTATGTTCTATAATCAGGGTTTCTGAAACAACTTTGTAATGCTTTTGGATTTGCATTACCTAATGTTAAATTAATGCCCCTTCTATCATTCCAACGGAGTTTACTGCACATGTACATAGTACTTCCGTAAGTGGAATTTCCGCACCTGATGAAAATATGGAATGAACATAGAATAATTATGGAGAGACGAGTGATTCATTAGCCGGGCTGGAACTGAGCTCACTACAGAGTGAGTGTTTAGTTCTACTTTGTTCCCCATACACTTAGCCATCTCATTAATTTAATACCTACGCCGACTCATGATGCGATGACACACAAACTTACTCACTCATTACATCAGCCGTTTACTCACAATGTTTCTCATCACTCCAGTCCCCGCAGTGATTCCAGCCGTCGCATTCCCAACGCTTGCGGATGCATCTGCCGTCGCCACACTCGAAGTGGTCGCCAGTGCAACCTGAGATAAATTAGAGAAGCCGTGAATATCGGACCAAATAATAAATATAAATAACTAATTTAATGCAGGGTGATCGGGTTTCCTGAAGGCGAGGAAGAATTTATAGGAGGGTAAGAATGTGATGTATGTGTTGCTTATAACATCGCATCAGAGGGGGGTTGATAGGTCTCAATATGCAATGGGTTCAGCGCGCTCAAAACACCCTTTGGAAAGAAAATCTAGGTCTCAGAGGAGGTTAAACTCGACAACTCGACTTTAGTCGTAGCATGCTTGCAAAACATTGAAAGTAATTCGATAGTGAAACGTTATAATTGAATGCAGTCGAGGAATAATTCATTTATATTCAAGAAAATAATTGAATGTTAACGCGTTGACTACGAAGTGGTACATATGCGTACCACGAAATGTATTTCTCCAGGACGTAGTGATACATAATTAAGGTTGCCTAAAATCGGCCAAATCCGAGGACAAAAAAGGCCGATAACTTAATATATACTAGTTTATTTGTAGCTTCTGCTATAAAAATTCCATTTATTTTCTTTTTGCAGTATTTAAAATTTAATTAGCAAGTACCCCTATCATAAATTTTAGCCGGCCAACGCAATTGAGAAAAACTAAATCACGGAATTTGTCCGGAAAAAATGATCGTCTGTCAAAACTGTTTAAAAACGGTACTAAAAATGAAATAATAGGACAAGATGAAGCAATTGTAGTCAACGTATTAAGAGCAGAAACAGATCCTCATATTAATTCGAAATAAAAGACATTAAAATTGCGCTGAAGCGTTTGACTCATCTGATAACTCACAGTCGAGCTCGTCGCTGCCGTCGCCACAGCCGTTGGAACCGTTGCACCGCGCTGTCTCGCGTATGCAGCGGCCGGTGTTGGCGCACCCAAACTGATCAGAGCGGCACGCTCCTGCAATCGCTAGTAGTGCGGTATAGAAATATTTTCAGGTCGTAATTAAAAAATTCTAATGTGTGTATTAATTTTTTTCTCGTCACAAATTAATTGTTCTGCTTCAATACTGTGTATTCAATTATGTTATTACTTTCAATAATTTTTCAATAAAATTGATTTATCTTGAAGGGAGGATGAATACTTTGGGGCGTCGTTTTATCTGTTATTTGCGTTTGGGTTATTAGGCGGGCTGTATCTGAGCTCATCCCTGGATGAGTGATTACTTTTAATAAAATTTTATTGAATGAGCTGAGTGGGGGAAAGGATTACCATGGGAATGTATTGCAGTTGCGTATGAATTACCGATGATAATAATGCTGTCATGTAGGGAAAAATAGTTATGCGGAGAATGCAAAGGTCAGAGCAATGTAATGTCAGTTAATGGAATTCAATTCATGTTTACCACAAGGAACCGAACCTTGAGACTCAGGCTCACCTGCGCCGGCGGAAGTTTGTTCACCTGCAGCTGCGGTTGCCGCGGCTGCCAAGAGCAGCAGCAGCCTGCAGCAGTTACTCGTTCCCTGTAGAGCAACAAGAGCTGTGAGTGACGTCGCCTTATTAGCACTGGTGCTAACATTCTCGCTATCACAACTGGGAGCATAAAATTAACCTTTAGCAATGATTAACCTGATGCCAGTTGACTTCATGGCTGCAGGACATCGTCGAGGGCGACCATTGAACGCTTGCATTGTTGGGCTCATAAGTAAATATAATATGGCACAGCAGTAGACTTGTGGCACAGCAGTAGACTTGTGGCAGAGCAGTAGACTTAAGGCACAGAAGTTGACTTGTGGCACAGCAGTAGACTAGACTATGTCAAAGGAATTAAAAGTTTTATTTACTAAATATCTTCCGGATGTAAATCTTCATGTGTTGCTAGTTAACAATTTTAGAATCAGCTCGTTTTTCAGGTTAAAGGATACCCTACCTGTTCTTATGCGATCGCCACTAGTTTACAGATATAGTTGTGCGCAGTGCGCATCAGCGTACGTCGGTATGACGTCACGCAATTTCTACACTCGGCTGGCTGAGCATAAGGGCAGGAGTTATAGGACGGGGAACCTACTTGCACATCCACCTCATTCTGCTGTACGTGTTCATGCTGAGCAGTGCAACACCTCTGTATCCGATAGTCATTTTAAAATTCTAGCTTCCGCATCCGGTGTTACTGATCTACGCATTTTAGAATCCCTATATATTTTCAAGCAGAAGCCTAGTCTAAATGCTGTTCTTAGCTCCGTTCCTCATGAAATAGTAAATAAATAGGCCGTTTACTAGTGTTATTTTCATGTCTTATTTATTTATTCTCCGTTTTTAAAACCTAGCAGTGCCTTTTACTCTACTAATTGATTGTATTTGTGTTCCTAGGACTGAACTTCTTCTGAATTGAATTTTGTGAACTGACGATGGAGCTGGACTCCGAAATGTTTTCTCTTATAAAGATATGGTGAATTCTTGTGGTATTGTTATTGATTTTAAATTCCTGGTTAACTTGCGATTTAAGCAAACAAGTGATTTTAATAGCAGTAGACTTGTGGCACAGCTGTAGACTTGTGGCACAGCAGTAGACTTGTGGCACAGCAGTTGACTTGTGGCACAGCAGTAGACTTGTGGCACAGCAGTAGACTTGTGGCACAGCAGTAGACTTTTGGCACAGCAGTAGACTT